ACCACTCTGCGCCCTCTGTCCTGCTAAAACTGCTCAGTCTAACTACTGCAGTGACCTTTCTCCCAGAAAGCTCTGGTACATTTCTAGCATTTAGTAGTGTTCAGACTTGAGTCTGTAAGAACAAGAAGGGCAAGATACTTTTTGTTTTCATGGTAGACATTTTACCTTGTCACAGGTGCAACCAATAATGTTAATAATGCTTCAGTTCTATTAAGAGGCCCAGTGAGCTATCATTCTGTACATGATACCAGGGTCATGGTACTCAATCCCCTACTATGAAAACAGTCTTTATGAGTGTTATTCAGTACACCTGATATGTTAAATGTCTGCTCATGACAGCAGCCCGCTAAGACTGATACCCATGTACAGAGGCATGTTCATGATTCCTTATCAATCACAGGGTTTGTAGGCAGAAACCCTTGAGGCGAATGGGTATTTACTTACCACAGGAGGTCAACTAGCCCTCCTTGTCTGGCTATGGCTGCCTTTACACGATTAGCAAACTGTACAGCATCCTCTCCCTCCTGTGAAAGAAGATTAAACACAGACAAACAAATGGTCATAACAAATGATAGAGCCTTTTTGAAATGTGGACACACCAAACCAAAACTGTGTGGTTGCTCTGAATGGCATCATTAAATGAAATTACAAAGAAAGGAGAGGAAAACAGTAGTTCTGTAGAAACATGGAGTTCCTGCTAAGTTTTGTAATCATTGCATCACAGCTTGCATACATGCTGTGCTTGCTGTCACGGCAAGCATGTTTAGTGTAGGTCAGGTCAGTCCACACTCATGACAAATAAAAAAGTCAATATTTCCAAATAAAAAAAAGACAGGATTAAATAATAGTGAATGCAACAAAATGATTAGTTCTCCTAATATGATGATGGTTTCATTCATCAAAAGAAAAAAAAAACACATCTGAAACCATAATTTAACCATGGAGTCTTGCCTCTCTAGACATGGGAGGAAGGTACCACACACTGCACACGATGGCCCAGCTGCTCATCATTCGTAACAGGTAGTTGACCATGCCAAACTTGCTGCTATTCCAGAAGGCATCTCCAAATCTGGGATCATACTGGGAGGGTAAAACACACCAGAATTAATAATCAATACAGAATTATTCAGAACACATGGTTGAAAAAATACTTTATAACTAGACAGCACTCAAAACACAACCTCCTTGATGGAGTTAATAAATGCTGATGGTTAAAATAACATGTAGCAGGTAAAAACTTTTCACGCACACACACACACAATAATGACATCACTCTCACCTTAATGGCCACAGGGTAGACTGTGGCACCAATCTCAAAACTGCCCTTCTTAAACATCATAACTGAGGTGTTGTTAATGCAGGTACCTGGGAATGTAGAATATTTATTTTAAAAAAAATCATTTAGAATTATGGGGCCTGTTCAAGACAATGTACGCACAATAGGATTATGAAGTCTTAACTGTACCAGATCACTGAACAAGCTCACCTTCTGGAAATATCAGAATGGGCAGTTTAGATTTATCTTCTACATGGTCACTCAATCTGCAACACAAAAACTATGTAGGTTGTCTTAAGACTCAAAATTAGAATAAAAAACAAATAAATAAAAACCAACTACAAATTACAAACAGACTAATTCAACAAAAGTGTACTCTGCAATGACTAACCAATTGCCAAAAACAGAGGGAAAAAAGTATAATAAAATGCACAAGAACAAACACAGAATAAAAACGAAGTATTGCTACCTTTTGGCCACTAGATGTCGGTCTTTGACTTCTGAGCGTTCAAACCAAACATGTGGGCAGGCCTTGACCATGGCTCTTTGAATGACCCCCATCAAGCCGCCATGAATTTGACCAACCTAACACAACACAAGCACATGCAAATAGCAACACATCTATTTCTGGAAGAGGAACAGTACCATGGAAAAAGTGACCAGTGCCAATATTTCTGTAGCTTCCTGCTAAGCAGCAGTATAGTTACCATAGCATAGCAGCCATCGCTGGCCAGAATGATGATATCGATGGGCGATGTGTGGTTGGCAACGCAGATGCCTCCATTCTTGGGTTTATTCTCACTGGAAGAGTAGAGAAAGGAAGACTGTCAATCACTGTATCAAGAAGACTTATCAAGAATTGAGACAATGTTGAGTGTGGCAGCTAGTGTCAAAACACACCTTTAGTGTACAACATGGCAGTCAAGAAAGCAATGCTATCAGAACTCCAAACTATTCTTCATAGAAATTTTGGTACACCTCTCCCTTGTGAGAAGCAACCCCTGGTGTCTATGTTAAGGTTTGACTGCCAGAGCATGCAGAACATTAATGTACCAAGTCCACCTTCTAAAGATAGAGTTACAATCTTAAACACAGTCCACATTCTAAAGATATAATTACAATCTTAGAGAGAGGGCAACATTTCCTCTGTCACTTCTGTATTTTTAGCTCCAGACTAGATACGATACATGTTGAAACAAGCTAGGCCTTGATGGCAGAATTCAGAAAGCCACAAGAAATGATGGAGACCAATGCACTGTAGGCCTGAATGGACATCTTGAAACATCACTTTTATGTCATTGCATTGGGAACAAGACATTGATTGATTGATATAGATGGAGACCATATGACTACTATATCTATATCAATCAATCAATGTCTTGTTCCCAATGCAATGACATAAAAGTGATGTTTCAAGATGTCCATTCAGGCCTACAGTGCAGTTAATCACAAAACACCAGCTGTTATACATTTCAGTTTACAGGCAAATATACAAAACACCAACTTCCTGCTCTACATCCTGTTGCATATACCACTGTCCTGATAAGAGCTGTCTCCTGTTTCATGTTCCTTTTAATCTTCTTACTCTGCAATGCTTAAATAAAATGTTTCCATCGCTTTAAAATAGAGGTTTTCAACCAGTTGTCTGTAGCCCCCTGGTGGTCTCTGACCATGCATTCAATAATGTAGTTTCACTGTTGGAATCACATTTTTTTAATTTGTTTGTTTACACATTTCCATTTTTAATTATCATTTGTGAATAATGGTATTCATGCAAATATATAAAGTTTTAAAAAGCCAAGGTGACTTTTCAGGGTTAAAATAGTGCCAATCTCCCCACACAACCATGGTCCTCTGGCTGCTTAGTTCCAGTGGATCTCCAGGTCTTAATCAATTGAAGACCCCTGCTTTAAAATCAAACCCTTCATTACCAACATCTACATGAATCAGTAACAGTAGATCACACTGGTGTTCAATCCATTCAGCATAGTGACACTTGCATTTCCAACGGCTGCATGAATTCAGCTGCTCCAGCTGAATTTGGCTGTTATAGGTATTTAACAAAAACAGCACAGTTCAGCAGAGAAATTCTTTACTGACTAGAGTTTTGTGCTTCACTTAGGCTCATAACACCTGTTTCAATGAATATGAATGTAGACCGTCTGAGTGTAGCCTCAGGCATCCTGCCTTTCATGCTCACACATTGGGTGCTCACATTGCAATTACTCACAAACCCTGGTTTCTGTTCCTCAAAGATAATTTGTGTTATTACATAATCCCATACAGACCTCTCTCATGTTGTAGCCAGGGTTCTGTGGCAGATCGTGTTTGAGAAATAAGAGTAATGGGATGATATGAACATGCAGCATTTGAGTGGTTTGGATTTTTTTTAATAATACATCCCTCTGGATTCAAATTTATGATAAATTTAAATCAAAAGTAATTATTTATACCTTATTCTCAAATGTCGTGGCATTTGGAAAGCTATTATTTGTACCATGTCATCTCTTGAAATGTTTGTTTACAAACTGCTTGCTGCGAGCCATTCACTTGAATATATACACAGATAACATTTCAGTCTATAAAACTACATTAACAACATGGTTTTCTTAAAAATATACAATATTTTGCATCACACTTACATAATTAGGCTAGCATATATCACCTCAGTGGTGTCAAAATGACTTCACTCGCTGCTTAATTAAATGAAATAGTACAGTGTATAGTGTCAGCGTGTTGGTGCCTCAACTGTTAGCGTCTGTGGTTGAAGGAAATGCATCTGGCTGCTGGGGTGTTTGCTCTGCTTCCATTATTTATTGATATTTTTACCACAAGTCATGTGCATCTGTCCATATTATTCTGATCATATGAACCTGAATATGGTCTTTCAAAGCCTATCAAAAGCCATTTACAGACATGGGATACGCAACATTGCTGGTTCCATCAGTCTGAATGAGAGGAAGCCGTCTCTTTAAGAGACGGCTTTCTCTCATTCAGACAAAGGTCACTTACATTATGATCCTCACTACTTCACTCAGATATACCCATACAATCATCCACGACAGTATTTGCCATACACGTGGCATTAGACAGTACATCAGTTGACATAAAATGTACAACGGCACAGTTGATATAATTTTGTCCTGGGACAGATATTATGCCACCTTAAAGTTCTGATTTTATTTTTCCAGGCAAGAAAGTGACCAGTCTATTGGAGTAATGCCAATTTGGAAATTAGCTCCAAGACACGAGTACCTACTAGCAGACCACACTATGCTTGTTTTTGCTGGTTGTAAAGCGTGTTGAGACACTATGGTGTGAAACTGCACTTTAAATAATGTTTGACTTTCAAAGCCCTACACCATTACAGCATTATCTTGTGCATTCCTGTCTATTCATGTGACCGCATGCAGTGAGACATAAATGTTACTAGGTCCAACCCAACAAGACCGCGGTTGCAACTTTTATATGTATACCTGGGTGCTCATTCAGACATGAATGTTCAGTTGCCGTCAGATTAATGGAAAGGAGTGCATGTCTAATAGTATAATAGTGCATGTATAATAGTCTTTTACCTGTCATGGTAGGTTATTATGGCTGTCAGGGCTCTGACACATATTCTGTAGCACATTAAATGGACCTTTTCACTCAGGATGTTTTTCATCCTGCAAGAAAAAGCACAGAACAGCAAGGTTTACTTTGTGTCATCGCTGCAGATCATGTCCACATGTCTGACCTGATTTGTTTGATAAATTACACAGACACACAAAAAAAGGCAAGCTTGTTATCAGTCTTACTTTCCATTCGGCAGCAGCCCAACTACAGAGGTGAGAAACACAAGGAGGCCTACACCAGTGACAGCAAGAGTTAACCTGGTGACAGAGAAGCAAGCAGGTTACACAGAAATTCTTCAACAGGGCATCTTACAACAAAACATATACTGTATATAAAACAAGGAGAAGAGAGGTTCAATGCTTTGTTTGAACACATTAAAAACTAATTAGTCTTTTCACTGGCATGTACAGGTAATAACACGATCCTTAGTGATAAGTGTCCTTCTGTACCACTCAGCTAACATATAAAGATGATGAGTGAGGTTATCCAGGGGAGCAGGGTTCTTGTAATCTGAAGGGTCACTCTCTCCTCTACTCACTGATAAACTCCAGAAATTGCAGGGCATATTAGTCAATGAAAACCTGGCCAACAGGAACCAATCACCCTGGGCTGGAGAAGGCACTTATTAAACTGGGTGAGGATAAGAAAACATTTGAAAGGTGAAGGTTTCATGCAAATGGTGAGGCAGGCCAATATTTATCTGGACAAGTAATAAATGACAAAATCTATTAGTTGAATGGGAGACTTGAATGTCGCCTGTTTGTGCAACAGTGGCCTGATTTGTCTCCCCAGTGGCGACTGGAATTGAGCCAGCCAGAATACATTTTGAGTGACTGTCCGTGTGCCTCTCTAGGCTGACCCTGAATCAGGATTTGCCTCTTTTACTCACTGCATGTGCCAACATGTAATGCTACTTTTGGGATGTGAAGCAGTCTCAAACTCCATGCAGTGTGCACACACAAAATCATGAATATAGCTGTATCGAGTATCATTAAATATTTGTTATATTAACAAAGGTTTCCCATGACTTTTAAGTCCCTTTTATTACCAACCAGACCTATACCTATTCTGGTAAAGTCAGCCTATTATGTTACTGAAATGTGTGCCTACAGGTTTCATCAAATAATTTTTAAGACTTTGACATGTTTATGGCCATTCAACTTCAAAATAAGATCACATTTATCAGTGAAAATGGAAAATAAAAGCATCTGCTAACCTATCAGAAGTCTAACCAGTGTAACAGGAAACCTTGACATTTTTGAAACTTCTATAACAGAACAAGGTGAAATTAAAAAACAAATTCGAGCATTTGATTTCAGATAATGAGGTCCCACTGTCACATCACAGCAGGAAGGTGCAGTATCTGAGTTTGACCCTGCTGGATGGGGACTTGTGTGCATCTGTGAGGGTTTGCTACCACATTCAAACAACATGCTTGTTAGGTGGCTTGGAAACTAAATTTTCCATAGAGCTGAATTTGTTAGCCCGGCTACAGACGGGAGACCCATCCAGGGCCTACCCAACCTATTGTCTAATGTATACCTCCAGCCCCTACAGTGAGATACTGGTTCAGTGGTTGGTTTGGTTTTGTGTTTTTAATGCTAATGCTCCAAACTCCTAGACAGGAGGGACCACTCTGTCATTATATAAAACCACCTCTGTGTTGGAGGTACAGCTGATACCTGAGTGGCAGCAGGAAGCCGTAGCGGATCAGCAGACCCAGCCCCCATAGGACAGTCAGCCTCAGACTGATGTAGTGAAAGTTGTAGTTGCTGCGTGTCAGCAGGTTCCAGGACTCCAACTCCTCAGCAGAAAACCGCTTGGTCACCTCATCGTCCATGATGCTCTCCACTCCTCGCCGAGCAAAATAGAAGATGTCAGACATCTCAAACTCAGTGGCTGAGTCAAGGTCTTTGTTGCTACCACTCCGCCGGATCTCCTTGATCTCCTCCTCCAACGAGGTGGGCTCCCTGGCAATGATAGCTGGGAGAGGGAGGGCATATCAGCAATATTAACCACCAAAAAAAAAAAGGTATACCTACTGAACATGCACACACACAGATAAACAGATAAGCGCATCATACCATTTGAGTAGGGTTTGTACAGGAGGTGATTATTTTCTTTTGCCCCTCTCTCTATCCTAAGTGTGGCCCACTGGAAAGAAAGAACAGAGAGATATATAGAGGTATTTATTTGAAGTCAAGCATCATAAAAAAATTTTGAAAATGGAGAGCATTTGGAGCATACAAAAAGTTTCAGTAGCAACCGGCAGGAAAAGGACATAGTGTTCTTTTAGCTGTAAGGCAAACAGGAAAGATTCACAAAATGACTGACTTAGTGGTGCTTAATGTGTTAGCCAACGGTCTCAGACTACACCTCATACAGGAGCATATGCATATGATGCAGCAATACCTTGGTATTGCTGCATCAATCAATGATGCAAATATGCTGAAAGTAAAAGAAAGCTGCATTTTTGTAAATGTGAATACAGAAATGTGATGCCTACATGTTTGTACAAGTCAAAAACACTGGAATTCGCTAGGGGCACTTGTAAAAAATATTCTATGAATCCTGGGTGACACAGTGGCTCTACCTGCATGACACACTAAAGAAAAAATAAATTACACTTCTAGATTGACTATTTCTACATAGCCATCATAAACTGAGGGCACCCACATTTTATGACATGGCTCTGCCTTGAACATGTGTTTCAAAAACACTGTAAAGATGTTAAGATTAAAGTCATTTAACCCTCAGCAGTGATATGTCTATTTGATACATCTGTGCCTGTCATCATTTACCAGAGAGATCAGGCACATACAGTGCACTGCTAATCGAACATTCCTTATGCTTTCTTTTACAGCTACCTGGAAATCATGTCATGGCAAGTTGTATCACTGAGTCATCATATTAAAATGCAGCTGCAGCTGACAGTAAAGATTCCTTGGGTGAAGAGAGGAGACACACTGAGAGCTGTTCCTTCTAATAAGAGAACGGTAACAGAATAAAGCAGGTCCATGATGCTAGCACAAGACTCCAGATCTGCATATGAAAGATTATTTATCACTAATGCATTGCAGGTGTGGGATTACAGTACAAATACTTTTAAGTGAATGGGAAATAGCAATTTTTGTCACACGGTTAGACTAAAAGCAACACAAACTCTAAATACCAGTGTAAGTAGTGTGCCACTGTGTTGAATCAGGAGAAGCCTTGCTTGTACACTTAAAAATGTTTGTCTTGGACATGATTAATCCAACACGGCTGAAACTGAGCCCTTTGCAAGCAATGGCACATATGCACATGATACAAATAGATAAAATAATTAAAAAAAAAATTGCTTCAGCTTTGCACAGCCTTTACCGCATGTATCCTTTGACCTTTTCACTAAATCATGGTTGCTACTGGAATCACGAGCTGGAAGCATCTCACATCGGCCACTAGTCCGTTTATTTCTGGCACAAGGTCTGCTCTCTAAGGTACATGTTGGGAAGTGATGACAGCTTTACTACTGAAGAATCACCACAGACAGCAGGAGGAGGGAAAACTAGATAACCATGTGCAGGATACTGTTGAATGGACTAGCCTCACTGCACAGTTATCTGATGCATAAAAGTTACCATTTTATTCAAATGCATTTCAAGAAATTAAAATGATTACGCAAGATTCCAGGCTGCTGGAGCCACATCACAAACGACAGTTACTAGCAAGGTCTTTCTTCAACAAAACAGCAGTTGTGAAAATGGAACTGTTGTTAGGGTGATTTTTATTTTATGCACTTAAGAATGGTTTTATTTTATAACACACATAAGTTTACATACTTATATGTCACAGATATGCTTATATAGTTATGAATATCACTCTATGTGTTCACTTAACCACTGGTCAAATATTTGCTGTGTGAGTCACTGAAACACTAATGCAACATCATAAGTCTTGTCCACTAAATTACTGAATTTCATTAGATTTATGGCTGTAGCTAAGGGAGCTCATAGTTACGTATCGTTCCTCTGGATTGGTGGACCCAAAGGAGTCTTGGTACGGTAAGGCTCCAAGTTTATTAAAATAGATTAGACGTAGATGAGAGAGCTTCAAAGGGAGAACAGTTATGCACACACACACGCAGGCAGAACAGTTTTAATTAAGTGAAAACAAAGGAAGAAGTGAGTGTGTATGTAGGAATTAAAGTAGTACAGGTATTCTTCCTCCTTTCTAGGGCGCTGTCCACGATGATTGGAGCAGAGAGGACGGACGGACTGAAGGACCAATAACGGGAGAGTTAAGTCTAAACCATGGCTCCTCCCCAACAGTTTTGGACCAATTAGATAGTAGCACCTTTTCGTACAAATATTGAATACCACTAAGTTGAAGTCAGTCTTTTCTGTTTATCCTAAACAGTGGAGATCCATGTGCACATGCTAATTTTGATACATTAATGCATAATAAATTTCATACTGTGAAATATATCCTCTTATTAGTCTTCTCTTTTCAATATAAAACGAACACGCCTCAACACTGTACAAAGGAAGACTGATTTGTGTTGACTGAAAGGGTGGACAAACAGCAGTCAGAGCAAATACAGGCTGTCTGTCTACTTAAAGAACAGAGCCATCTATTTCTATATACTGTTGCATGTGTGAAATAACAGGATGTTTGATAAGGGTGTAAGAAAATATCAATACACTTGAGTATCATGATATTATGTTTTGCAGTACTATATCCATTTTTAAATATCGTGATACGCATCGTATCACCAGGTCCGTGCCAGTACACAGCCCTAATGTTTGGCAATTATTTTAACTATGAAACAATAGCAACACACCCGTAGCCAAACTTTTTATAGTGTGTCTCTAGTGTTTCCATTCCATCCTCGGCTTCAACTCAAAAGTAAACACTTATGACTGACACATCATCCCATACTGCAGCTACCTTTCTCCAGTGGATCCTTATTTCATGAAGTAAAAAATGTATCTCAAAGTTATGGAACAAGTTCTTACCTCAAAGACCTTTAACAGCGTTTTCATGTAAAGACGTCGGATGCCGAAAGAGACCCCAAAGATGGCAGGCACAATAATGAAGACCAGAAGCAGGGTGAACCACACAGTGAACGAGATGCCCAACAGGATACACAGCAAGTTGTCAAAAGGGTTGAAGAAGAGCTCCATCTCTAAATCAGGAGGGTGATGAAATGTAAAGAGATGAACTCCAAGGACAAACAGATGGCAAAGGAGATTTAGTACTCCACCCCCTGGCCCCAGTTGGCCCTTAACTTTTGTCAGAAAAAGGCCTTCATTGAGATAACTAGGGAAATGAGCTTCTCATGCTGAACAGAGAATCAATACATGTGACCATTCTGATGTTGCCTCCTTGGGCAGTGTCAATGAATCTCATTATTTTCACCATAAACTGGTTTCTGAAACTCTGTTGAAACCAATTCCAGAAAGAGGAAGGCAACGTCTTTAAAGCAGCTACAATGAAATAAAGCGCTGTGCTTGCCGCAGAATCCCTTTGCGATGTGTGCAACGCCTCATGCTGCTGCTGAAACACTGTAAACAATGAAGTAACAACAGCCGGGCACAGCAGGTGGCTCTCTTGTCTGGAGAAGATCCGGTGGCTCTACAGCTCAGCGTAATACACAGACCTGCAAAAATATACAAACATTCAAGATGATCAACATCACAGTGTTATATTTGGCCTGACTACGTATCGTTTAATTCAATAACACAAAACCTTTGCCTGAGTCAGTGTCGTTTGTGTGCATTTCAAATACTCAGGTGATAAGTTGATCCTAGCTTCTGTCTATTCTGAAAAGAAACATACCAATAATCTATGGGCAGGGATGATTAATAGTAGTTTTCCATTTTCGGTGATAGGTTTATAGACAAACGTTGCTGTTATCAGTCACGGTGCAGAGCTATCGTTGAAGGCCCGCCGTCCACATCCCCTGTGATGATGCAGCAGGACGGCTAACGTCAGGCTCCAGCCCGATTAAATCTACACTGGGTTAGCATTGCCTTAGGTCACCACTACCTCCCCTTAACTCATTAACCAACGCTTTCTAAAGGTGATTTAGCAGCCTTCCAACCCCACAAACGCAATTAAATAACGCTACAGCTCTAGCTCTGGGTCGGGGGACTCAAGACTCCTGAACCGAAGGGGACTGCTTAAAGTAGTCTAACTTATGCAGAAGTTAGCTTGTGGGCTCCGAGCTAACGGTAGGCTAGCTTCCTCTCAGCCTCGGAGAGTACCGCCCGGGTTAACATGAAATATTGTGCCAAGCTTTTTAACTTATAAGGTTGAATTCCGTAGGCAGACTTGGTATCTTAACGTTACAGACTAAAACAGTTCAAATGTATGTGGCTTAATAGTAAACCTACCTCCAGTTACATTGCATCGACGTTACAGTTACAGTACGGAGGACTGGCCATCACTTCTTTGTCTTGCGGATTAGAGCCAAACTCCACCCGGTGACAACACGAGCAGACAACTAACGGGCAGCTCGACGGCTCCGAAACGACCAGCTGACACCAGGCGGTCCAAATAAGATACTGCACTGGGCTTGTTTTTAATAGTTGTACAAATCTTAACCACTGGTATTGCTATAGAGCAATGTTTTGAAGGCATCGCTATGTATCAGATAATTCGCCACAGCCACACTCACATAAAACAAAATTGAGATACTGTACACTCCAGACTCGAAAATCAGTCATAAAACGTGTTTTTAAACTGACAGAGCTAAAAAGGCCAGCAGCAGGATGTTATATATGCATCACTTTTCCAAATGTAGTCCTTCAATGCTTTGATCAGCACAGAAAAGGCTATTCACCAATATTTTATCTAGAAGGAGGCATAAATGTCACACCTCTCAAACTTAAGCAAATGAACCCGCAACATTTGCTGCATGGCCCCGACTGATGGCCACTAGAGGTCAACCATTAATTTGAACACATACTGGAATACCCAAAAGCCTTTTTATTCACACATTTACATCCATGTACAGTCTTGTCAAGTAATTTCAGATATAGACACATGAAAACACTGAAATTTGGTACACCATTAAACCTCTGACCCCTGAATGTCTGTTCCACAAGAAGAAAATAAAAGTTAGTTTTCATATTTATATTGTGTTTCGATAGTGTATTTCATTGTCATAGCTGCTCTAAAAACAAAGGTGCAACCAGAGGCCACTGTTTTAGTGTTGGATGCCAGATTCTAAAGGGACAGCTCATAGTAATGGTGAAAATGTTGTCAACATGACAAATGCATCTGTCAAGCTAGAGAAGGTTGTGCTGCTCTGATGAGCATCAGGCCCTGCTCTCCAGGAGAGCCTCAAAGTCTGGAGAGCAAACCATTTTCTCTTTGACATTTCCTAATACAGTCAAATCACCTGTTCTTCCTTCTGTACCAACAGAGACCAGCTCCTGAGGAAACAGGGCATGGGGAAGAGGAGAAAAGAACTGTTAATATTCTATTAAAAAATAAAGAAAAGTGGCCTGAAAGACAAATGTATAGAAACAGATACAGTATGGAAACAAACAGAGAGCCATGTTAATAAATATACTACCTGAAGGAAAGCGCATGTTGTTCCTAGAGACACATCAAGTGTCACCTGTCCCAGTATGAGCTGTACCCGGCCAGACTTCCGCACCAGCATCTTTCCTATAAGACCTTCCCGCAGATCTTTCAGATTGCAGCTGTTGTCTTCAGCCCCCTCTTCCTATTTTTTTTTTATTAAAATCCCATTTATACACATAACTTAAATATCATCATGTATTTAGCATGTGGGCAGCAACTGTGTCTACCTGAGACTCTGTTTTCAGAAGCAGTGACTGTCCATCCTCTGACTGCACCTCCGTTTTCACCGTCCTGTGCTCTCTGGTGGGAGGTTGGCCAGGCAGGGAGTCAGGCAGCTGCAAGAAGAACAGCTCCTCTGCTTTGCTCTGACTCCATCTGTGCAGCAGGTCATGCAGAACTTCAGGCTTTGGCAGAGTAGGAGGCTTGAAAGATGCCTCAGATTTCTGTATTTCCATCTCCTCTGGCTCCTGTTTGACTGAAAGGAAGATAATGTGTATTTAAGGAGATCAGCTTTGTGGCCATGTTATTTTCAGCTTTCATAACCTATCAGGAATAAGTAAGTAAATGAGACAAAATAAAATCCTGCAGTTACCTTTAATTGCAGACTGCATGGGTTCACAATCCTCCTCTATCTTCTCAGTCTTAACAGCCGCCATACTAAATTCCTCCTTGAAACCCCATCCTGATACAGCGAGGGGAAGCTGGACAGGGCAGCTCCTCTGCTCACTCCTTAGGAAGGGATCATCTATAAGCTGGCAGAAGGCAATAGGAAAACAAAGTTAAATTGACAGAAAATGTGAAACAAAGCAACATAAAAAAAAAAGAAAAGAAAAAAAGATAACCGACAACTGGGACTCACATTGTCTCGCTCCAAACTGCGTAGGATCTCTTTGGTTTCTTCCTCAGTCTCTCTCTTCTCCTTTTTTATATTGATGATAGGTGAAGGTCCCACACTCGGAGCGTCTCTCTCACTTTCATAACAACCTGTGTTTAATACAAGAACTCACTTGACTGCACTGTTAAAGACATAAACCAAAATGCAGAGTGAGCAGTTATCCAAGTGAACACCAACCTCTCTTTTTCATCATCATCTCTGCAGGTCCTTGTTCAAAAATAGAGTGGGACTGGATGGTGTCTGGGAAACCCCGTCCCCTGCCTCTATTTCTTGGACCTCGACCTCGGCCTGCATCTGTCTTCTCTCTCCTCTGCCCAACTTCAACTTTTGTTCTGTCATGCCAAAGTTATTGATCAAATGTCAGAAAAGCTATTAAATCAAGTTTTTCTTACATATTCAATTTTTCTTTTAACATCTGTTATGAACTTACTCCTCTTTGACTTTTCGGCCAATAATGTTGGGGGTAAAAGTTTTCTAAAAAATATGGCACAAAAACAGGATTTACTGTAAGTATTGGAAAAATCACATTACTGTGGAATTGCAATCATTACGTTACAACTACTGTGCACTGAAACATTTATTGGACAACTGTTTTCCACTATTCCTTGTAATAGTGAGATACAGGGCATTACCTTCTTCACTCCCCCCAAGGTCAGGTCTCGTGATCGCATTGAGGGGAAACGGGTGGCAGAAATGGCGGCTGGGGTTCGGCGGCCCGTCAGCAGTCCTATATTGCTCCCTCCAGGTGTTGGCACACGTTGACCACTGGGGTCACCTGAGCCTGAATCAGCCATCCTAAAAGGGGGCAAAAGGGAAGTATGAAGACCTTGTAGTGTCTCTAACCATACAAATTCTACACATCAAGTCATTATTTTTTTTTCTTTCTTTGTTTTTGCATTAAGCTGCTTTTGGGAGTAAAATTAACACTGAATGCTTCAACCTATTGAGTTATAATTACATTGCTAATGTTCATTTCTCAAAATTTCTTATGCAGAAATGTCTTTATCGGTGCCCACAGTATTGGCCCGAATATTGGCCCATTTAAGAGATCCATTTCACAGTATTCAATCATAAATATAATATTTTGTAAGTAACAGTGAGTCAATTTCTTCATAAAGTGATTATTGTGTTAGACATTACGTTATACATTGATCTTTGTACAGCAGTTACAAATTATAGTACCCTAAAAAATCCCGAGTTGTTTCACATTTCGTAAAATAATGGGCATGGAAATGTTTTAAAAATACCATAAATCATTCACAAAGGCATTGTTTCCAAAGGGCCTTAGAAAAATTGTTCTAAGTGGTCACATCAATTATTCCAAAAGAAAGAGCACAACAACGCTTGTATTTCAGTAATTAAAAAAGTGACAACCATTTCAAGGGTACGAGCTACATGACCACTTCAAAACGCAGTTTTTAATATTCCGACCCTTCACTCTTGATATAGAATGTTAGCATTAATCATTTTGCATCAACAACACAGCTAAAGTTCAGTAACACGTGCACAAACCATAGCACGAATACAAACATATGAACACTGTTAACTTTAACGCTGTCAAGAATAATTTTTGACACTATGTTTCTCCAAATACTTACGTTAGAATTTCTCTGTTATCCTAATTAGCTATTGACTTTAAACTTGTAAGAGAATAATGAGCAGGATTTGTTTTCTGCTAGTGCTGGTTCTAATACTGCATGATGCACAGCGCGTGACACTTCCGCAGTGTCATCAGCCGGGATATTCACGTGGATCAAACATGCGCAGAAAGACGCATGTTTATCGATCATGGTACACTACATCTTGTCTATGGATCATTTCGTTGACGATGTTTGATAGTCTAGCCCTATATGATACGAATGCAAAACAAAAAAATAATAATAATATGGCATATCCGTACATGTATAAGTACTGTATAATGCATCTGCACCAGTTTATACTTGTGGGATGGGCTAATGTGTATTTAAACCATGGTACAGGTTACTTAATTAAAAGTCATGTACAGTATTATATTTTCTCTGGACCCTGGACACATTCAGTAATCTATTCATGACCTGTAGTTTCATATTATAACAATGGTCTATAATTACCAGCTGTGACACCATAATTAATTTACAAAGTGTGCATAATTGTTATTGTGTTATGTGACTTGTACACTGAGGCTTGTCAGGGTATACCCATTATTTAAAATGTATAAGCTACTCATGTAAGCTACTTTGTCCATTATCTGGTGTGCACAGATTCATATAGGCCTATGATTCATATATTCAAATATGATGTCTAAACCTATGTAGGCTAAAGTACAAGTTGTTCTTGTACAATCTTACCGAGGGAACAAGAAGAAGAAATAAAGCCATGCTTCAGGTTGCTTCTGACCTTTTTGGTGCCCCAGGCCAGGCATCCACTCTAACCTGCTTGTGTCTGGTCCTGTTAATAATGCATTGACCTTGGGGCTAGTCTCCATATATGCAAAAGATGGACTGTGATGAATATATCCACATACACATATCTGTGCATGGAGCCAAGAGGGTTATTTGGACAGAGACAGGCTGTATGACATGACTAATACTCGGAGGATATCACTTATTTGTGGCTAGATGAAAATAAATAAACCTTTTCAATGCCACACACAAACACTGGAAATATTTATAATTTTTTCTTTTGTGATTTGTCATTATTCTTTGTTCATATTTTTTGTTGGAAAGGTCTCGTTAATCTATAATATCTAAAATGAAGCTGTCCCATGAGGCAGAGCCAGTACAAAAACATTCCTCTGAAAATTCATGCCAGAGAAAATCTGCTTACTCTGGAATTACGTAGTGGCATCCCTCGGCTCTGTAAAGTCTGGGGGCAGGGGTTCATTCTGTGGAGTTAGTCCATATGGCAATTGGCACATGTATATTTTTTGAGGGCTTGATGGTGCTCTGTGTAATTTACTGAGACATCACTCTCAGCATAATTTATTTTGAGAAAATGGCTCATTTTTTATCACACTCATCATTCTCTATACTGTCTTTATACCTCTAGTGATATTTATGCAAACAGCTGACTGTTCAGTATACATGAAAATGTGGATTTGTGACCATAGGGTAGACTTACTGATGAGTGATCAAATCAAATCAAATTTTATTTGTAAAGCACCAAATCACAACAAAAGTCATCTCAGGACACTTGACAAAGTAAGGTCTAGACCTTACTGTTGGGTTGGGGTGAGTGGATAGAGGAGAGACAAAAGAAGAAAAGCAACAAGACACAACAATCAAACACAGATCAGGTCAATGTGGCTGGGGACTGCTCGTCAGAGATGTAGAGCTCCAGGGCCAGGGCAACCTGCAGAAAGGTACAGGGAGAGAGAGAGAGGACACACTACGGGAAAGAGGAGACACAAATGTCTCAAATGATATATTGTGTATGATTAGGCAGTGAAAATATGATGCTGATGAGGTTGAGTATCTCACTGTAGCCCACGCAAAAATGAGCTTGGGAGGGGGGAGGGAGGAGAAGGAGGTGCAGAGGGTTAGGGTGTTTATGTGACACAGAGAGTGAGAGCAAAGCAGACGGAGGAGAGGGAGAGTGGGAGAGAGAGGAACCTGTGTGTTTGTTTCACCTCCTAATCAGTTTTCCTGGGGGATCTATCAGTGACTGCAGCAGCAAAAGGAGGAAAAAAGAAGAATCGACCCTGCTATTAGCTTCTCCCATCATATATTTCAGCCTCATACAAGTAAGGAATTCTTTTATATCAGTCTGAAGCTTGTGAGTCTTCAAAAAATGAATCCATTTTGTTATACTCTTAAGTTGTGGAGATCAAATAATTGAATGTGGTCATGGAGCGCCTCTTCTGTGCATTTTTCAAGTAATATTAGGTATAAAGTCAGATTAATACAGTACATGGGATGTCACAGCATGAGTATTATTTGCATGTTATTCTGGTGACCATACATGTGTAATGACATTTATAACATGCCACCAATGATAATTCACATGAGATCTTGAGGGTATTTCATACAGCTGCATTTTATGTAATGACATCTGTGCTCATTTTCCCAAATGTTAATGCTTGGTTTAATAGTGCATGGGGGTGCAAACTGTATTAGTCACACAATATCTCATTTTCACAGCTTGTTTATTGAACTTCAAACAATATTTCTATTCCGTGCTGTGTAATGGCTGTTTCACCCCCTTTAGTTAAAAAAGATACACTGAGAAACCTTTTCTTCAATCCTCATACTTATAATCAATCATCGAAATGTCTTTTAACATATTCTCCCTGGAAGGACAAAACAAAACAAAACAAACAAAACAAAGACTTTAAACCAGGGACGATTTCTATGCCGTGCTCCATTTGTATGAATGCAGCAGCTTCATTCATGTTGCTATCTCACAGAGATAGCAACAGTATTTCAGCTAATGAAAAATTTGGAATTGACCACAACCCAAGTACACAGTTCCAGACTAATTATGTTTTATAATTTATAGTAATCTGTTAAACCCCATTGCCTTATTTGGAATAACTACTATTACCATGGCAGAGATAAGTGGCTCACATTTTTTTTTTACAGACTGATTTATAAATGAGGGCACTGGGGTTGTCTGAATGGTTTTAGAACCTGGTTGTATCTTTGTGTTCATGTGAATTCAATCCAAGAGTGGAACACACATAGAAACATAACATTTTGATGACTTGTCCTGTGAGAATCTCCTCTTGCCCCAGTTTCTTGCATCTCTGGTAAGAAATAAGAACAGCAGCTGGAAAACGGACGCGTGGAAACACACGTGTGTGATGCAATGGCTCTCTCCCCTGGCCCCTATGTGAACAAGCTGCTGCACAAATTTCACAGTTCATAGGCTTTAATGAGCTGCTGCAGCCTGTCCATCATACTGACTGGAGAGCACCACAGCAGACCTCACAGTCAGACAATGACAGCACACCATAAATCTCTTGGAACGCACAGACAACAAAATGAGCGTGTTTGTTTGTACTAAACTGCTGGAAGGTTATTTTAGGCCTGTCTGTGATTTGCTCAGCTATGACTTTAACAAGAGAAACATAACAATGTGAGAAATAAGGGAGAAAATTATTTACTAGATTAGTAAGTAATACTCAAGGAGACAATTACAATAACAAACTCAAGATGGGTGAAAATTACAAGCAAACTACAGAGGAATAGATTGCACTAAATCAAATCAAATCAAATCAGCTTTATTTATATAGCACTTTAAAAACGACATCCAGTTGACCAAAGTACTTTACATAGACAGAATAGGTCTCAGGGTAAAAGAAAATGACTGTTGTGCTGCTGCTGTAAAGATGATTAGTTTTAGAAGAGGGAAGATGACAACTAATCAAACGCAACACAGGCTGGCTAACAGATTTACCCCAGGCTGGAACTCAAGGCTATGTGCAGCAGCCTGAATCAACTCACTGATGGGCAATTAAGAAAATATGACCATGCATCACCTGCGGCTGCAATATACTTAATTCTCCTCTATTTCTGCCCAAAGAATATAAAAGCTGTTTGAATATTCCCCTTGAGCTGCAAGGAGTTCACTTGCTCAGCTGTTTTGAAAAAACATGCACTTCAGCGAGGAAGCAAAAGTGTTTAAAAAGTTGCCTTTAGTTTAAAATGTTGCTGACGGGTACAGCAATATTATATTTATGACCCCTTCCTCGAGAATCACAGAAGATTACTGAGGGAGGCTGCAGATGTTGCTGGGAGACTGCTGTAGGTGGATTATGAAATGCCTGGGGAAAGCAGAGGCCAGTTACTCAGCTGAGAGCGTATCAAGTTGTGAAATAATGGAAAATGTCAGCTAAGGGCAAAAAAAGGGGGCAGAGCAGGGTGAATAAGTTGGGACAGATCCTTAAATGAAAAGTTAACTGGATTTTGTGAGGTGTTTTCCAGTTGTGGTAATTCTAGCCTGCTATACAGCATCCACTTCATAGTTCTGTTATATTGTTTTAATCTCTATCAGCGGATTACATTCTTGTCTAACTATCATCTTTTATCTTTTGGTTTAATGAGCAGATGACAGCTATGGATACCCCTCTCTCCACCCCTTGCAACATCCAGGTTTGTGAGGTGACCTGTGACTCCTTTCGCATCATGTGGGATATGACACCTGAAGACACCGCCAGAGCTACCCACTTCTTTATTGACCTCAGCCGCAAAGAAAGCAGGGATCCCAACCGCTTTAAACACAGGGTCTGACCATTTGAAATCTCATGTGCTTTCCTCTGTCTGATCCATGAATGCAATCTGCTCCCTGCTGTGCTTTATATGTTCATATTCCAATCAGTTTTTACCATGTGATTGGCTAAGCAGTCCTTCTTATGCCACTTAAAAATTACAGTGGACAGCCTAAATGAGACAGGAACATTTTTATTGAGCTCTTGTTGGCTTAGTGTATGGGCCTATGTGCATAACATTCTGCATTAGTCACTTCCAGCACAGGCGCAAAGGGAAAATGAGTGTTGTCAACAGCTTCAGGCCATGTGACTCACTTCTACACTGTTTCCCCTAAAGTAGATAAAAACTGACAAATGCCATAGCACAGAGCAGTTTTCATGTTAATTACCCTAATGCACATGATTAAATTTATAAATGTTGGAAAAAAATGTATGCAAACAAACATAAAATGACAAAGAGCCAATTTGTAATGGTTTATCTGGTTTATATATTTGTCAGAAACTATCTTTCTATATATTTGTCAGAGACTATTCATCTCAATTGGAGATACTTTGTAGGCTAATGAATTTAGCTACCAGCTACTTTCTATCTACAGTCCCTGATTCTACAGATAAACTGCATATCTAACATGTAGGCCTACAACATATAATTTATATTCATGTGATATACAGTATATATGTTTACCCATTTTTAGCCACACTACCAGCCTGTCCCTGGGGATGGCAACGTCAGTCTGTCTTGTTAACATTTAGCTCAAAGCCCCACTGTGCCTTTAAGTACAGCCCTCAAAAGATCCTAGCATGGATGCAGAAGAAGGAAAGATTTGACCTTTTTACACTGGTTAAATGCCCACAAATATACAATATTATTAGCACTTAAGTGATAAAATTATAATCTGAATTTAGCTGCAGTGGCTGAAATCAAACATTTATCATCTCTCTTCACTTCAGATGCAAAGTACTGAGTGTAATTATGGGCTGTTACTGAAGCTGGAATGCTAAAGCTGAGAAAGTGCTTTTGTGAAGTCAGGGCAGGGGTATGATAGAGTGAGTTGCTCCTGAATGGAGGATATGTTTTCTCTCTCTCTGATACACAAAGCAGCACAAACAAACTTGCATCACAGATGTTGCCATGGATATGTGGGCCTCTGAGTCTGTAGTAATTAGCGGTGTTTCTCCGAGGCCTTGGCCAGAACAAAGCTGCTGATTTGATTAGATGTATCCTAGTTACATCAGCTTGTGCCTGGAGCATCATCCTAATAAGGCAAAGTTTATGGAGGGAAATGGTTGACTTAACAATTGCATTCACTTTGAAATGTAAATTAAACACACAAGCAGCCTGTTATATCACTGCATCCTGTCCCTGATGTCAACCCTTTCCTGCTTTGTCCTCCAGGATGTGCCAACCAAGCTGGTGGCCAAGGCAGTGCCTCTTCCCATGGCAGTCAGGGGACACTGGTTCCTCAGCCCACGGACAGAGTACTGTGTTGCTGTTCAAACGGCTGTACGTCAGCCAGATGGTGACTACCTGGTGTCAGAGTGGAGCCAGGTGGTGGAGTTCTGCACTGGCGGTAAGAAATCTCATGTCTGACAGCTAAAGTAGCCCTGGTAATATATGCAATGGAGCATGAGAGCTTTAACCAAAGCTATACAAGATAAGGACAAAGAAATCCAGTGCACAAAAGTAGCATTAGTTAAGTCAGATCAGTCTCAGCACTGGGTAGGCATTAGTATTTGAAAGCTGTGCAAGCTTTTGGACTGAGTACCCAGCTTCAATCAACTTCACAGACTATGCCATGGAACACCTACAACAGCTTCTGGACAAGGCCAAGGACTCTGCAAGCCGGCTGCTGAAATTCTCTGTGTTTTATCGCAACCAGCACCCAGACTACTTTGAATATGTCAGGTCAGTACTGCATTCTTATGTTTCTACTGTGTGCCTAAAGCCATGCTGATAGAAATTAAATGTAATATTCTTTTCTTTTTCCTTTCTTAATTTAGGAAGGAATGTGGAGGACTGATGCATCCCTCCCTAAAAGACAGCAGTGGGAGTCACGGTTCTCCTATCAATGGCAAACTGCATGGAGTCTTCTTCAGCTGCAATACAGAGTTTGATACAGGCATCCCTCCCAGAGACTCCCCGTACGGCCCCTTGCGTTTCCAGATCCCAGCTAGACATCTTCTGAACCCCAACATCCACCTGTATTTTGCAGACTTCTACTGTATGTATACAGCCTACCATTATGTGGTGCTGGTGCTTGCCCCTGTGGGCTCAGAGGGAGACACTTTCTGTCGCACCCGCCTCCCTGTGTTGGACTTGGCCTCCAACCCCTTCCTGACATACACTGCTCCCCAGAGGTCGGTGGAGGAGCCCCTGTACTGTCATGCCAGTGATGTCATCCTTGAGGTACTCTTCACAGAACCGGTTCATTTGGATCAGGGCAGTGTGGAGCAGATCAGTGGGCACCACCAGCTTATGAGTCTAACCACAGCCAACGCCAAGAAAGATCCAAGCTGCAAAGTGTGCAACATCAGTGTGGGACGCTGAGGGAGATGGACAGACACAGGAGAATCTAAACCAACAGTGCTGAAAGGTACAGTTTTACACAGGACAAAACAGTCGAGTTCACTAAGAATAAGGCAGAACACAGGGGAAACAGCCCACCTCTCGGGGTGTGTGAATGCCGCTTTGCCTCCTCCCTCTTGCCTGGACTAGAAGAATGAGTAATAAATAGAAAACTTTTACCATCATGATCACAACCAGAAATACAGTTAAACATCCATCCATGACTGCTGGACAAAACTGGAGAAAATCTGTGCATTTTCATACCATTTTAATTTACATTTTTTTTCCTTAATGTTCCTTTTGTGTGTTATGTATTTTCTGTTATCAGTTTGATGTGATTAATGTTAAAGTCATTTGTGTTTCATAATATCTGGAAGTACAAACACGCAAAGCATGCATCTTTTTAAAGTCACATTATAGAGGTTATAACAAATTTACAAAGAATTCTTTTTAAAGACACTGCCAGATGTCGTCTTTTTATATAAAAGGCTTATTCTTGCCAAATGTGTGCTTATTAATTCTACACTGTAACTTTGTCTGTAGTGTTTAGCACCCCTGCAGTATAATAGAATCCTTCTTTAAAAGAAAATTGTAGTATGGAAGAGGATTAGGGGCCACTGTGCAAAACTTATTTGAGTTCTGACTGACTCATAATTTAAAGACAGAATTTTGAGTTTGAATTCAGGACTCAAATAAATTTTGTACAGTGGCCCTAATCCTCTTCTGTATTGTAGAGCTAGGATTAAGAAATTAATTATAACCCTTAATAACAAAGTGTCAAAGCTTTTTACTGCAGAAACATATGTGAGGTGGGGCAGTGAAAGCAACACCATTCAATGTGTTGGGGTTTCAGACACAGCAGGGAGGTAATGGGAAAACTCCTATCACAAAGTTAAAATGTGTTCAGTATCTCACAGCAAGCTTCCACTGAGCTAAGATTAGCTTCTCTCCTGTTACGGGGCTTCTGTTTGTCCCTTCCCAGTAATCTCTGACCTATTTGGGAATCCCAGAAACACCCAGAGTGAAAGGGATCCCTTCCCTGTTGCATAATAGTAAGACATGGGCTAGTGAGTGGTCAAAATATAGGACATGACAGAAGAGCATGGACTGAAAAAGTCACCTTATTGATGCAGATTGTGAAAGAAAACTGGAACAGAATGCAACAAAATGTTTTGTACAAAACAGTTACTCAAATGTCTAATCATTTGTGAAAATAAAAACAAATTCAGAGTGAAAACTGTGCAAATGTAATAAAAATATCCACCTCATCTTGATTTGATTTGATTTATTCTTTCAAGCATGTAAAGACAGTTGATATGACAACACACATAATTTTACACATAATCCAATATCAATTTGCTTATACCTAGTACATGCTTGAATGGAGTAGGAAGAAGTCAGACTTATCCAGTCCTACCCCATGACATCATCTTACATCATTGGTTTGCAAGCAGTAAATGATTCACTTCTACCCACACAAGTATTATACTAAAAAAAGATGTTAACATTCTTACATCACACAATATACTAAAGAATTATTACAGAGTATTAACATTCATACACCACAGCCACAATGTTCCATCTAATTAATCATTAAGCCTGTTCTTGCATATATCTTGATTGACGCATACCTTTATATTTGTGTTTAAACTCATCAATTCTCTTACTGTTTTTTATGTCCACACTTAAATTATTCCATAGTTTTACCCCACTTATGGAAATACAAAATCTTTTTTTGGTTGTACGTATAGCATGAATTTTTAAATTTAACTGACCCCTTAAATTGTATCCCCCTTCCCTTTCATTAAATAGTTTTTGAATTCCACCAGGTAATAAATTGTTCCTGGCTTTATACAAAAACACAGCAGTCTTATATCCCACTAAATCAAAAAATTTAAACAATTTAGACTGTATGAAAGCTACATTGGTGTGATCCCT